AAACATGATTTTTGGACTCCAATGTGCATAAAGAACATAAACAATTCATTCTTGTACGTACAACTCCCTAGTATATCACTTTGTGCCCCTTCCATGTATCTAACAATATTTGGATAAATAAAAAAAATTCACATTTTCCCAGGAAAATATGGTACAAAACAGTATTAAAGTGGAACTATATACATGCAAACAGAGGTACAATAATCAAGAATATTGGTACAGTGATCATTCCCACCTTATTTTCTTGTTTTAGGGTGAATAACACATTACATAACTTAACAATAGCATCAATTTCGTATACATAAACAAGAAATAAGAGATTTTGATCAATTTAATTGATTTAGGGTTAATATGAACAACAATTTTTAAAATTCATCCCAAACAAATTAACCAAATATATATGAATTAAACATGAGTTTTGGACTCCAAAATGCTCATATAATACATATATTACTTGCTACTTCAAATTTTGGCCGGAAAAAGCACGAATGTGCCGGAAAAAATGAATTTTTGGCCGCACAAATTTGACGTCGGAATCACTTCTTTGGCCGGATTTGTTGTTTCCGGAGTTCTTCTCGCCGGATTTGGGTCGCCGGAGAGACCGACCTGCAAAAAAAAGAAAAAATTGAAGCAGTCGCCGGAAATGGAGGAAGACGGGAGAGTGCCGGGAAGGAGGGAGATAGGGTGTAGAAGAAGATTGAACAAAAAGTAATAAAATACTATTATATGTAGTGGTTGGTGGAAGACAAAACAAATAAAATAATATGTTAGTGAAATGATGTAATAAATCATTTTAGTTTTGATTAATTTTAACATTAGGGAGTTAGGAGGAAGAAAATTAAGGGATTAGAGAGTTGAAAGGAAGAAATAAAGGTATGGGGACTGAGGAGGAAATTGAAAAGGCACTTAGGGATTTTAGGAGAAGTTACCCATAATTTATTCCTCTATAACTTTAAAAATTATATAAACTTCTTACGCTAATTTAAATTTAGGCAAAATGAGCAGGGGTAAATACACCGGGTAAATTGTTCGAATTCTTATTTTTTAATTTTTTTTAGATTTTTAAAAAATACTAGTACGTATCTTCTGCGATTCACTAGACAAGCAGGCTATGTCCGTTTAAGTTTAAAAAGTTATAGGTCATCATCTATTTTCCATTTCTTTTAATAAACATTGTTATTTAGCAAGAACATTAAATATGAGAATGTTAGGCTAACTTGTAAATAATTAATATATTATCTCACTAACACATTTATACTAATATTAGTTTGATTTTAGTATATATATATATATTTATTCGTTGACATAAGAAAATACAACAGTTTTACTTATTCTTGTTCATCATATAATACTTCATTATTATTTTACTATAAACTTTGTTGTCATATAATGTCATTTTTATTCATAAAAGTTATAGAAGTTGTACGTCTTCTTTTTCTTTTTATTTTATGTAATGTAATCAATTTAAAATATGTATGTAAATTTAAAATTAGATAATGTATAAATATTTTACAAAATATACACACATGTTTTTTTCGAATTTGATTTTGTAAACTAATTAAACAACTTTGATTTAGGAAATGCCAAAAACTCAATTCCTTCTATAATCAAAATTTTTCTAATTTGCATTATAAGGATTTATAATTTATTTAGTATTCCCTGCAATGAAAATATATTTTGCAATAATCTAATTATAGAAACAAATCAAAATAAAAAAATGATAAAAAAAAAATCATGGTTGTCAATAATATACAAATAAATCTAAAGAACAGTTCATATATTTCAATTTTAATTTTTTGACCATTAGTAAAACTATTTAATGTATCTGGTCATTATCTCTTAAATGGTAAATTATGTTAATTTAAAGCATAATTTATTTTTTATTTATAATGAAATAAAGCTTAATAAAAAATTATATTGACAATGATTAATTCACCAACTTGTTTTCGCCTATTCATTGGAATAAAACATTTTCCTAACCTGTTACAATTTTTTTAAAATATTTTTTGGATAAAAAGTGAATATTTGTGAAAAAAAAAATATAATAGTATGGTTAAAACTTAAAATATGTGGTAATATTTATCTTGATCAAAATATTTTCAACACGAATCACGAAAAATCAATCTTGTAATTTATTATAATGAATATCAATGAAATTATTGCAGATATTAATAAAATTATTTAAGAAAATAATATTTTTGATCATATCTTATTTGATCTTATTTGAAAAGTGTATATAAAAGCAATTAATGCATATATTTAAAAAATTTCTAAAAAATGGTATGCATTAAATTTCCCAAATTTTTTTACTACTAGTTTTGGTAAATGGTTATTCTTATTATATATATATATATATAGGGGGCGGATCAAATGCGAACAGCTCTTAGCAACTACAGAGAACTAACTTAGCAACTATAGAGAACATACCTAGCAACTACAGAGAACTAACTTAGCAACTACAAACAACTAACCTAGCAACTACAAAGAACTAATCTAGCAACTAGAGAAAACTAACCTAGCAACTAGAGAAAACTAACCTAGCAACTACAGAGAACTAACCTAGCAACTACAGAGAACTAGTCTAACAACTACATAGAACTAACCTAGCAACTACAGAGAACTAACCTAGTTGGAAGGCTAGTTGTCAACGGTCAACGTCGGAGTCAATGTCGTAAGTCAACGGTCAACACCGGAAGTCAACGGATTTCGCCGAAAGTCAACGGTCAACGCCGGAGTCAATGGATCAAAATAATATTTAAATAATTAAAATAGTAAAAAAAAGAGTAAATCTTGGCCTCACATGATGAACCAAATATTGTGGCTAAAAATGAGTCTCACGTCCTCACTTTAAAAAAGCGGCCGCATTTGAACTAATCCCTATATATATGTATATACATATATATTTTATTTGGAATTTTTAAAATTTCTAAAATTTATCATTTGAGATTTTAAAAAATTTAGAAGTTTCAATATAATTATTGTCTGATGTGTCTGAAATTTTTAAGACTTGCAAGATTCCTAAAACAAAATACATACGCAAATGCAAACTAAATTTAATTTTTGTTTCCATCATCCATATTGGAATTCATATATTATTTTATTTAAAAAAATATATCTTAATTAAAACATATAATATTTTATACAAAAATATTTTTTAAAATTCAAAATAATACCACAAAATTTTAATTCCTTATTAATTATTTTTTATTTCACAATAAGAATATAAATTTTATTTCTTCAATTTTTATCGTACAATTTTTTTTTTTCAAATACCAAAGATGCAATTATTTTTTTTTCTAGAATTCACGTACTAGTAGCCTTTTAAAACAAAATATGAATTTCATTTGAGGGCCTGGAATGTCCACAAATAGGGCTTAAAGCCCATTCATGAATTAGGTCATTTCAAATGCTTCATTAAAAGCACATATAAGATACAAATACGAGCAGATTAATTGTGCTACTCTACCGTAAAACGTTAGAATTTTACTAAAAGTAAAGACAAGTGGTGTGCTACATTCTCGCGCTACTTTAGAATTAGCTATTTTGGCGTAAAACACTAGAATTTCGTTAAAAGTTAAGTCCAGTGATGTGCTACATTCTTGCACTAGTCTAGAATTATGAACATTATTGCACCACATTTGGCGTGATACTATTCATAACTCTATATTTTTTAAATTATTTTTATATTGTTTGTATTATTTAATTTTAAATTTAATTATTTTGATAAAGTTGTTACCAATAAATTTACAATAAATTTATATAACGATTTTAGAATTATATGACAATATTATTTTGAAAAAAATATATTGTATTGAATTACTAAAAATGAATCCAAATGATGTGAAAAAAATAATTTTTTGTCTACTAATATTTCAAACCAATAGCAGACCCCCTAACATTGTGAAAATATTTATTGCATGAAATAACATTAAATTTAATTATATTTTGATATGTTAAATAAATAAAATAATATGTTCGAAGTAAAATGTAAAAGCAAATGATTGAGGACGAAATTTGATTTTTGTCTTGCTTTTATTCTACAATAGAGATAATGGAGATAAGGGCTGAGGATAACCTTAAATTTGTGATTTTTGTTAAAGGAAAATAAGGGTTTAAGATAAATAGTGCATCTTTCGACTTACAGAGTTTATCTATCTATGGCTTCTTCCTTCTCACTTACCCGTTCGATTTGTCGGAAATGGTTTGCCGGAATCTCTAATTGTCCGATTGGCGGAAAATTGATGTCTGGATCTTGTTCTTCCGCCGAATGTTGTAGGTATAGGTTGAAGTCCTCGTTTTATCCGAAAGGCATGAGCACGTTGGCCAAGCCGAAGCCATCACCCTCGTCATCTCCTTGGCTTATGCTGCAGCCTGCCTTTGACGTCGACGTTAGCGGTAGCGCAAGCAGGAGCTTCAAGTTCTACAGCCTCGCCGACAACAAAATCGTAACCCTAAGTACCGGAATGAGCAGCAAAGAAAGAGAATTAAGGAACCCTCTCTTGTGCTTTAGGGGATCTTCACATGGCTGGCTAGCTTTGTACGACAAAAGTAGCCTGGACGTGTTTCTGTATAACCCAATAACCGGTGGTCATATAAGCCTCCCTCCCTTTGGCCACTTTCCTGATTACCCTCCAAACTCGAATAGAATCAAGAAGGTCATCCTCTCGTGCTCCCCAGACGACGATGGACCAAATTGTCGGGCTATCATGATCTACAACAACGTAGCTGCGTTGGCTTTCTGCTGCCCTGGGTTGAGCAAGGAGTGGACCCGAATTGGAGATTACAACTGGTTTGATCAAGATTCGGGCCAGCATTTTTTTGGGGGCTACGGAGATTGTGTCTACTCCACAAGACATGAAGCATTGTTTTGCCTCACAAGACTGGGCGTGTTGGAGTCTTGGGATATTCGGGACCCTCAATCACCGAGGGCTGTGAAGATAGCCGAGGATAGTCGGAAGGTTGAACGGCTCGGCTACCCGAGGACAGGTACGAAGAAGTTGATGTTGACGAGTAAGCAGGTGGATAATCTGGTAGTGGCCGGGGAGGATCTTCTCCTAGTGACTCAGTACGTGGTTACTTCATTTGACTTTGATGGTTTGTATGTTGATGCTACTACGCCATATGACTTCACCGCGAAACGCGGCTTTCCGAGTGTGACTGTTGATTTTGATGTTCATAAATATGACCCTGAGGATGGGGAACTCAAGTATGTGGAAGGTTCTTTGGGTGGTTGGGCTCTTTTTGTTGGCCTCCACAGCCATGCAGTTGCGTTGCCCGCGGCCGACTTCCCCGAGCTCAAACCCAATTCCATTTACTTCACGGATGCAAAGTTAGATGCGTCGATTGAGGAGTATAAAGATTGCCTAACTGGGGGCCATGACATTGGCATTTTCAATTATGAGAACAAGACTGTGTCGCCATGCTATTTTCCATGTGATGCTCAGAACCTCAGGAAGACTTACCCAGGGCCTATGTGGTTCTTCCCAAGTCGTTAATGATGCCATATATACTGATTAATGGTTTTTGTTACATAATTATTTCAATTTTAAATTTTAAAGGCTTCGAATTTTGATAAATTAGATTACTCATTTTTTGTGCAGAGTTGGAGAAACTTGAGAACCAAGTAATAGATGGATTCGTTCATTCATTCATCATAGGCTTATTGTACATACCCACGTAAAGGTTCCGGGAGATCAAGCCTAAGTACCATTTAGGCTTAAACCTCAGCTTCTTCACAAGTAAAGGTTTCTATCATGTAAAAAACCGGCATCGCATATATCTGTACGAGTATATAACCAAACAAACACATATTACTTGTCTTGTCCTACAACCAAATACATGTATATACATATCTATATATATATGCAAGAAAAAAAAAAAAACACTTCATTCTGCACGTCGGGTTCCTTTGCCTACCGAATCCCCTCAAGCAATCGTAGAATAACTTCATAACACAAAGTTCAAAATTCATCAAGATTTTTCAAACGGGAGATATTGCTCGACCCAATCCATTATCACACGTGTTGTTTCGACCCAATCCATACTTTAATCAGACCCGATATTGCTCGATTTTGTGGCATAAGGCCGCATTAAATCCAACCGATTCTTTAAGTCTAGCCCAAACAGTCAGAAGCCCACTTATGCTCTTCCCCAACAGGCAAACAGGAAGCTAAACTAGAAGATCTAAAATGTTATTCGAGCTTAGTCGACTAGCTCATAATCTTGCCCGTTTAACAAAATGAATCAACTTGGCTTTATACTCTCTCTCTCTCTCTCTCTCTCTCTCTCTCTCTCTCTCTCTCTCTCTCTCTCTCTCTCTCTCTCTCTCTCTCTCTCTCTCTCTCTCTCTCTCTCTCTCTCTCTCTCTCTCTCTCTCTCTCTCTCTCTCTCTCTCTCTCTCTCTCTCTCTCTCTCTCTCTCTCTCTCTCTCTCTCTCTCTCTCTCTCTCTCTCTCTCTCTCTCTCTCTCTCTCTCTCTCTCTCTCTCTCTCTCTCTCTCTCTCTCTCTCTCTCTCTCTCTCTCTCTCTCTCTCTCTCTCTCTCTCTCTCTCTCTCTCTCTCTCTCTCTCTCTCTCTCTCTCTCTCTCTCTCTCTCTCTCTCTCTCTCTCTCTCTCTCTCTCTCTCTCTCTCTCTCTCTCTCTCTCTCTCTCTCTCTCTCTCTCTCTCTTTCTGTGTGTGTGTGTGTGTTATCTGATTGTTCGATTAGTATTGTGAACCGGTTGTATTTGTTCTCTCTTATCAGTTGTCTGCAATAAATTTTTTTGGGAAACTGAATGTCGATATGGTTTATGATATATCTTTCTCTTTAATGTGTTGGCCAGAGAAATTGGTTCTCGTTGGTGAAGTAAAGCGCAATTTCGATTGCGTTGGCAGTTGGATTGGTCACGGGATTGCCTGAGTTTTGGATATTCTTAGGAGAGGCCAATGCAACTAATATTGCTCCGGCACTACCATATGTGTCGGTTTTGATTTCAGGTCCGCCAATAAAAGGATCCTGGGGAATTGTTGAGGTATGCATTTGCCTATTCTCAATAAGTCTTATCAGGGAAATTCAGAAGCCGCTTGAGGATATTACTAAAAGTCTGAAGATTCAAAGCCCTTGATTATGTCGAGAGGTTGAGGAACCGTAGCTCATTTTATGATTAGTATCTTCTTTTGTCTCCTTGTCTTTAAATGGCATCTTACTTTTGAAATGTGTGTTGGTATTTGATTCTTCTATTGCTTGTGCTTGGGATGCAGAATGTTAGGCTATCCAGCAAGGCAAAACATTGATAGCTGGAGGTCTGGCTAAGTCGAAGGCCGATGATAGGGCTACTTAACTAGGTTAGAGGGTGGGTATAGATAGTTGTTAATTTCTTAATCATTTCATATTTGGACTTGAAGGTGTTGGAATTGCAATGTAGTTTGTACAGTTATATTTGAAGAGCTGGCTGTAATAACTAAAATTTCTTTAAAATAGTATGTATATTTTTGGGGCGATAGACCTTTTTGTTTAAGTTGTGAATCGAGGTAGATCATGGAAGCGCAGACTTTTATGTTTTATTGTCTATACTTAAACACCTTGGTTCATGAATGATGGAAGCTATACATTTGATGTACATTTGGAATGTTGACGAAGAAATTTGTACCAACTCCTCCTTAGGTCCAGAGACTGGTTAAAGAAATTCTTCCTAAATTATGCTTGTCTCATTCAAGTCCTTGTCATGAATTGCAGCTGAGGTCTTCCTGGGGCATTGGGTAATTTTCTGCAGTGTTGAAAAGGATGTGGTCGATGGCTTTCCAAATGAACTGCCAGAAGAATATAAAAATATGTCATTACTAAAGGGGAGAGCTACTATGGATATGAGGGTCAAGGTCAAGGACAACCCTAACCCGGATGAATGCGTATTTCGCTTAGTGTTGGATGGCTATGATCCAAAGTGGTACATGCTTGAAGAGATAATATGTCAAACACCATTCCTAAACAGAATTTGCTTATAGACATTGACTTTGATGACACTTACAAATTGGTTCTTTTCTAGCTGATGGCTTTGTTGTACAAACGGGAGATCCTCAAGGACCCGTTGAGGGCTTTATTGAACCTAGCGCAGAAAAATTCCGTACAGTCCCATTGGAAATTATGATGAATGTAGAAACTCACCATTCTATGAGAAACACTGGAAGCATTCATAAACAACTGTTGTAGTGCAACATATACAGACAAGTTTTTGTGTGAATCCTTTCATTGAACTGCTCAACACAAGCATTCCCCCAAAACTAGTGAATGAGTGCTTAAATTTCTACGCATTATACACGAAAACTAGTGTGTATCTTGTGGGATGCACGGAAGAGTTCATATTTTAAATATTTTTTTGACTTTATTTTAAATATAATTGTTTATATTTTTCACATCTCATCTCATTACAGAATTAAAATAAATAAAAATAATGAAAATTTATATATTATTAAACACTTCTCTTTATGCAACATATTTTATTTAATGAATATTATTGAACCTTTTAGTTTTGATTTTTTTTTTAAATCAATTAACCAATCTATGATTGTTAATGTACAAAAAGTAATGGAATGAATCAAAACTTTAAAGTAGAGTTATTTTATTTTTCTTTAACAAATCAAAACCATCCAATATTTCTTTTAAGCACTTTCATATAGCAATTTCAATGTATACTTCACACCAATTTATTCAATGACCAACTATTAGTCAAATTACTTATCAAATTAGAAGAGGATCAAAATATTATCCTACATCATCTTTTTTTATTTGTTATTTAATTTTTTTTATCAAACAATTAATAGGAATCCTATTCCCATCATATAATAATTATAGTAAAATCAAATTAAATCTTATTAAAGTAACTATTTAAATTATTATAAAATTAAATTCATGTAATTAAAGTAACAAATTAGACAATAGAACATTTGAAATTGGGTAGAATTTTCTCAATTTACGTCATCCCATCAGAAATCTGTAAGCATATCGTTTAGTATATTTTGAATAAAAACATTAACGCTAACCAAACAACGAAACTCGATAACTCTAGTTTGTTAATGAAATAAATCCGGTTTGATAAATGAATAATTATTTAAAAAATTATATTAATTATATTTTAAAAATATAGTTAGATATATTACATTAATTAGTTTGTTAGTGATTTGATTATATTGAAGGTGATATTTTCCTTTAAATATTTGAATTTAAAACTCTAATAACAAAATTTAGATTATATCACATAAGGAAAAAATAAATAATAAACGTTTATTAATATATTTAAAATAAATTAAATAGGCGGGATAACTCAAATTTGTTTTCAAAAAGTTTATAAAATGTTTAATATTTTGGCAAGTATATCTGTAAGAATAATCGTACCATTTTAATTTTAAAAAAAATTGGCAAGTTTTTTAATGTGATAAAATTCAGTTAGATAAATGATTAATTAGTTAAAATGTTTGTGTAAGATTAACTTGTTCTATTATATTTATTAAAAATAATTGTACCTTTTGATTTGACGAATAAAATCATACTTTGTAAGAATATTTTTACATATTTTACACGCACGTTCATTCTGAATATTGGGATGTTGAGAATTTTTAGAATATATCTCGCCACGATTTTAGGATTCACGTGTAATGGATTTAAATTGCAACCAAAAGATTTGAAAAATTTAAACCTCACAACAAATTGGCATAGGCGGGATTTTACTAAAAAATTCAAAAAAAATATTTCCAGAAATGGTAAAAACGAAAAAAAGACATGCTATTTTCAGATTTTTTTCTTAGCAAAACAAATCACTTTCTGTCTAATCCTTTCTTTTTTTTTTCATTAATTAGTCCATCAAAATTTTTAAATATAATTATTATTTTAATAATAACTTTTATCATATATATTTTTAACTCAACACATGTGTAGTACACGGGTATTGTACTAGTAAATATTTATTGTATGAAATAATATCAAATTAAATTATATTTTAACATGTTAAATAAATAAAATCTATCATTATATTAAAAGATTAACCATTTAACATTTTTAGCAAGTTTTTCCCGCCAAATACATTTAATGTCTCCTAAAAATAGAGCAGCATTAAATGTTGCCCTTAAATCATGACAGTTGTTAATTTAGTTTGGAGAAAATCGTGGCAACTAAAATAAACAACATTAATTACAGCTGATTTAATATTTAAATGGTAAACAAATATTACTTTTTTATAACTGATTTAAATTTACGTCTGTTTAAAAGTAAAAAACTATTTTTGCAATTTCAACAAATCTGTACTCTTTAATGTACGGCTGATTTAAAATTAAGAATTTATTTTTGTATTCTCACAAAAAATCGTATAAAGAAGTATGGCTGGAATAATAATAAAAAATTAATTTGTTAAACCATATTTTGCACTCATAGATATGAATTCTCATCAAATTCAAGATTTAAAATTGTGAAGAATGTATATATATGTGGACTGATTGAAGATATATGATTCCTTAAATTAAGGAATTTTTTTCGGTAAAAAAAAATATAAACTTTAAATATAGATTTTATTAGTAGTATATACCAAAGAATATTGTTACATTTAAAATTCCTATGAAGAAGAATTCTATTAATTTTCAAATTCAACATCTCATAAAAATAATATAATACGCATTTACATTCTATGAAATAATATTTAAAACCCACCGTTCAACATGCATAAAATGTAAAATTATCTAACATGAATCATTTTAACTTTCTAAAATCAGTACAGAATTTGCTCGGTATGTACTAATAGTCTAATAGTTAAGAGTTAATATTTGCTATGACATCTATTGGTTGGAAAGAATTCCATTTTGTATGGAATTCGAAATGAAAAAAACATATTCTGAAAATCAAATCTGGTTTAGAGATCGATTTCTTAATTGCCTAAATTATGCAAATATATTGTTTCAGTTTTTAGGATTCTTTTTTATGATCTCAGTCTTTGCATTATATGAAATCTATACTTATATAAAAAGTCATCCTATTTATTAGAAATAGTAGGCAGAAAAGTCAAAGGTAATCAATGCTTGCTGGAAATATAATGATATTAATTACATATTTGTTTTGGTATTTATAGGCTTGACATTAAAGATTTGTTATGGGATAAAAATTAGAACCGATTTTTTTACCTTTGCTAGAAAAGTCAAAGGTAAGTATAGATTTGTTTTATCCCATAGCATCGATTTAGTTAAGAAAATCCCATTAAATCAGTTTTATATGTCAAGCTTATGAATAAAGATTGAATCGGTCAAAATTAATCCTTATTTTACAGTCACCCATAAATAAAGTAGATGTCAAGCCTAAATTGAAGGGTTTAGTTGTCTATATAGTCATTGGTTTACGTAAATACATCTAATGTTTAAAGTTTGTGTAGATTGAAAATTCTTTCTTATCTTTTTACAAAAAATCTTATTATTATTGTATGGAAAATCAAACTCATAATGTTGTGTACAATGTGGTCTTTAATCATATATGATTGTTTGTTTGTCGAATACTATCTTATTGTATAATTTTCCTGCGTATTATAAAATTTTTATTGAATATTGCATCTTATAATATAGTATTCTTCAATAAATGTATCCCGTGCCTCGCACGGGTCACGTACTATATATATCCCGTATATTTTTCTGTATTCATGTATATAATTATAAGTCTGGATAAATAGCCTTAAAATTGTGCACCTCGTGCATTGCACGGGCTCTGTACTAGTAATGTAAATAATGTAATTGTGATTTGTTGTTTCACTTTCCTCTAACTACTATTATACTATAATAATAGAGAAAAGGGATAAGGGCTTAAGATAAATTGTGCCTCTTTCGACTTTCGAAATTTATCTGTCTATGGCTTCTTCAATCTTACTTACCCGTTCGATTTGTAGGAAATGGTTTGCCGGAATCTCTAATTGTCCGATTGACGGAAAATTGATGTCTGGATCTTGTTCTTCCGGCGAAGGTTGTAGGTATAGGTTGAAGTCCTCGTTTTATCGGAAAGGCATGAGCACGTTGGCCAAGCCGAACGCATCACCCTCGTCATCTCCTTGGCTTATGTTGCAGCCTGCCTTTGACGTCGACGTTAGCGGCGGCGCCAGCAGGAGCTTCAAGTTCTACAGCCTCGCCGACAACAAAATTGTAACCCTAAGTACCGGAAAGAGCAGCAAAGAAAGAGAATTAAGGAACCCTCTCATGTGCTTTAGGGGATCTTCACATGGCTGGCTAGCTTTGTACGACAAAAGTAGCCTGGACGTGTTTCTTTATAACCCAATAACCGGTGGTCATATAAGCCTCCCTCCCTTTGGCCACTTTCCTGATTACCCTCCAAACTCGAATGGAATATACAAGGTCATCCTCGCGTGCTCCCCAGACGACGATGGACCAAATTGTCGGGCTATCATGATCTACAACAACGTAGCTGCGCTGGCTTTCTGCTGTCCTGGGTTGAGCAAGGAGTGGACCCGAATCGGAGATTACAACTGGTTTGATCAAGATTCGGGCCAGGATTTTTTTGGGGGCTACGGAGATTGTGTCTACTCCACAAGACATGAAGCATTGTTTTGCCTCACAAGACTGGGCGTGTTGGAGTCTTGGGATATTCGGGACCCTCAATCACCGAGGGCTGTGAAGATAGCCGAGGATAGTCGGAAGGTTGAACGGCTCGGCTACCCGAGGACAGGTACGAAGAAGTTGATGTTGACGAGTAAACAGGTGGATAATCTGGTAGTGGCCGGGGAGGATCTTCTCCTAGTGACTCAGTACGTGGTTACTTCATTTGACTTTGATGGTTTGTATGTTGATGCTACTACGCCATATGACTTCACCGCGAAACGCGGCTTTCCGAGTGTGACTGTTGATTTTGATGTTCATAAATATGACCCTGAGGATGGGGAACTCAAGTATGTGGAAGGTTCTTTGGGTGGTTGGGCTCTTTTTGTTGGCCTCCACAGCCATGCAGTTGCGTTGCCCGCGGCCGACTTCCCCGAGCTCAAACCCAATTCCATTTACTTCACGGATGCAAAGTTAGATGCGTCGATTGAGGAGTATAAAGATTGCCTAACTGGGGGCCATGACATTGGCATTTTCAATTATGAGAACAAGACTGTGTCGCCATGCTATTTTCCATGTGATGCTCAGAACCTCAGGAAGACTTACCCAGGGCCTATGTGGTTCTTCCCAAGTCGTGAATGATGCCATATATACTGATTAATGGTTTTTGTTACATAATTATTTCAATTTTAAATTTTAAAGGCTTCGAATTTTGATAAATTAGATTACTCATTTTTTGTGCAGAGTTGGAGAAACTTGAGAACCAAGTAATAGATGGATTCGTTCATTCATTCATCATAGGCTTAATGTACATACCCACGTAAAGGTTCCGGGAGATCAAGCCTAAGTACCATTTAGGCTTAAACCTCAGCTTCTTCACAAGTAAAGGTTTCTATCATGTAAAAACCGGCATCGCATATATCTGCACGAGTATATAACCAAACAAACACATATTACTTGTCTTGTCCTACAACCAAATACATGTATATACATATCTATATATATATGCAAGAAAAAAAAAAAAACACTTCATTCTGCACGTCGGGTTCCTTTGCCTACCGAATCCCCTCAAGCAATCGTAGAATAACTTCATAACACAAAGTTCAAAATTCATCAAGATTTTTCAAACGGGAGATATTGCTCGACCCAATCCATTATCACACGTGTTGTTTCGACCCAATCCATACTTTAATCAGACCCGATATTGCTCGATTTTGTGGCATAAGGCCGCATTAAATCCAACCGATTCTTTAAGTCTAGCCCAAACAGTCAGAAGCCCACTTATGCTCTTCCCCAACAGGCAAACAGGAAGCTAAACTAGAAGATCTAAAATGTTATTCGAGCTTAGTCGACTAGCTCATAATCTTGCCCGTTTAACAAAATGAATCAACTTGGCTTTATACTCTCTCCCTCTCTCTCTCTCTCTCTCTCTCTCTCTCTCTCTCCCTCTCTCTCTCTCTCTCTCTCTCTCTCTCTCTCTTTCTGTGTGTGTGTGTGTGTTATCTGATTGTTCGATTAGTATTGTGAACCGGTTGTATTTGTTCTCTCTTATCAGTTGTCTGCAATAAATTTTTTTGGGAAACTGAATGTCGATATGGTTTATGATATATCTTTCTCTTTAATGTGTTGGCCAGAGAAATTGGTTCTCGTTGGTGAAGTAAAGCGCAATTTCGATTGCGTTGGCAGTTGGATTGGTCACGGGATTGCCTGAGTTTTGGATATTCTTAGGAGAGGCCAATGCAACTAATATTGCTCCGGCACTACCATATGTGTCGGTTTTGATTTCAGGTCCGCCAATAAAAGGATCCTGGGGAATTGTTGAGGTATGCATTTGCCTATTCTCAATAAGTCTTATCAGGGAAATTCAGAAGCCGCTTGAGGATATTACTAAAAGTCTGAAGATTCAAAGCCCTTGATTATGTCGAGAGGTTGAGGAACCGTAGCTCATTTTATGATTAGTATCTTCTTTTGTCTCCTTGTCTTTAAATGGCATCTTACTTTTGAAATGTGTGTTGGTATTTGATTCTTCTATTGCTTGTGCTTGGGATGCAGAATGTTAGGCTATCCAGCAAGGCAAAACATTGATAGCTGGAGGTCTGGCTAAGTCGAAGGCCGATGATAGGGCTACTTAACTAGGTTAGAGGGTGGGTATAGATAGTTGTTAATTTCTTAATCATTTCATATTTGGACTTGAAGGTGTTGGAATTGCAATGTAGTTTGTACAGTTATATTTGAAGAGCTGGCTGTAATAACTAAAATTTCTTTAAAATAGTATGTATATTTTTGGGGCGATAGACCTTTTTGTTTAAGTTGTGAATCGAGGTAGATCATGGAAGCGCAGACTTTTATGTTTTATTGTCTATACTTAAACACCTTGGTTCATGAATGATGGAAGCTATACATTTGATGTACATTTGGAATGTTGACGAAGAAATTTGTACCAACTCCTCCTTAGGTCCAGAGACTGGTTAAAGAAATTCTTCCTAAATTATGCTTGTCTCATTCAAGTCCTTGTCATGAATTGCAGCTGAGGTCTTCCTGGGGCATTGGGTAATTTTCTGCAGTGTTGAAAAGGATGTGGTCGATGGCTTTCCAAATGAACTGCCAGAAGAATATAAAAATATGTCATTACTAAAGGGGAGAGCTACTATGGATATGAGGGTCAAGGTCAAGGACAACCCTAACCCGGATGAATGCGTATTTCGCTTAGTGTTGGATGGCTATGATCCAAAGTGGTACATGCTTGAAGAGATAATATGTCAAACACCATTCCTAAACAGAATTTGCTTATAGACATTGACTTTGATGACACTTACAAATTGGTTCTTTTCTAGCTGATGGCTTTGTTGTACAAACGGGAGATCCTCAAGGACCCGTTGAGGGCTTTATTGAACCTAGCGCAGAAAAATTCCGTACAGTCCCATTGGAAATTATGATGAATGTAGAAACTCACCATTCTATGAGAAACACTGGAAGCATTCATAAACAACTGTTGTAGTGCAACATATACAGACAAGTTTTTGTGTGAATCATTTCATTGAACTGCTCAACACAAGCATTCCCCCAAAACTAGTGAATGAGTGCTTAAATTTCTACGCATTATACACGAAAACTAGTGTGTATCTTGTGGGATGCACGGAAGAGTTCATATTTTAAATATTTTTTTGACTTTATTTTAAATATAATTGTTTATATTTTTCACATCTCATCTCATTACAGAATTAAAATAAATAAAAATAATGAAAATTTATATATTATTAAACACTTCTCTTTATGCAACATATTTTATTTAATGAATATTATTGAACCTTTTAGTTTTGATTTTTTTTTAAATCAATTAACCAATCTATGATTGTTAATGTACAAAAAGTAATGGAATGAATCAAAACTTTAAAGTAGAGTTATTTTATTTTTCTTTAACAAATCAAAACCATCCAATATTTCTTTTAAGCACTTTCATATAGCAATTTCAATGTATACTTCACACCAATTTATTCAATCACCAACTATTAGTCAAATTACTTATCAAATTAGAAGAGGATCAAAATATTATCCTACATCATCTTTTTTTATTTGTTATTTAATTTTTTTTATCAAACAATTAATAGGAATCCTATTCCCATCATATAATAATTATAGTAAAATCAAATTAAATCTTATTAAAGTAACTATTTAAATTATTATAAAATTAAATTCATGTAATTAAAGTAACAAATTAGACAATAGAACATTTGAAATTGGGTAGAATTTTCTCAATTTACGTCATCCCATCAGAAATCTGTAAGCATATCGTTTAGTATATTTTGAATAAAAACATTAACGCTAACCAAACAACGAAACTCGATAACTCTAGTTTGTTAATGAGATAAATCCGGTTTGATAAATGAATAATTATTTAAAAAATTATATTAATTATATTTTAAAAATATAGTTAGATATATTACATTAATTAGTTTGTTAGTGATGTGATTATATTGAAGGTGATATTTTCCTTTAAATATTTGAATTTAAAACTCTAATAACAAAATTTAGATTATATCACATAAGGAAAAAATAAATAATAAACGTTTATTAATATATTTAAAATAAATTAAATAGGCGGGATAACTCAAATTTGTTTTCAAAAAGTTTATAAAATGTTTAATATTTTGGCAAGTATATCTGTAAGAATAATCGTACCATTTTAATTTTAAAAAAATTGGCAAGTTTATTAATGTGATAAAATTCAGTTAGATAAATGATTAATTAGTTAAAATGTTTGTGTAAGATTAACTTGTTCTATTATATTTATTAAAAATAATTGTACCTTTTGATTTGACGAATAAAATCATACTTGGTAAGAATATTTTTACATATTTTACACGCACGTTCATTCTAAATATTGGGATGTTGAGAATTTTTAGAATATATCTCGCCACGATTTTAGGATTCACGTGTAATGGATTTAAATTGCAACCAAAAGATTTAAAAAATTTAAACCTCACAACAAATTGGCATAGGCGGGATTTTACTAAAAAATTCAAAAAAATATTTCCAGAAATGGTAAAAACGAAAAAAAGACATGCTATTTTTGGATTTTTTTCTTAGCAAAACAAATCACTTTCTGTCTAATCCTTTCTTTTTTTTTTCATTAATTAGTACATCAAAATTTTTAAATAAAATTATTATTTTAATAATAACTTTTATCATATATATTTTTAACTCAACACATGTGTAGTTCACGGGTATTGTACTAGTAAATATTTATTGTATGAAATAATATCAAATTAAATTTTATTTTAACATGTTAAATAAATAAAATAATGTAAATAATGTAATTGTGATTTGTTGTTTCACTTTCCTCTAACTACTATTATACTATAATAATAGAGAAAAGGGATAAGGGCTTAAGATAAATTGTGCCTCTTTCGACTTTCGAAATTTATCTGTCTATGGCTTCTTCAATCTCACTTACCCGTTCGATTTGTAGGAAATGCTTTGCCGGAATCTCTAATAGTCCGATTGACGGAAAATTGATGTCTGGATCTTGTTCTTCCGCCGAATGTTGTAGGTATAGGTTGAAGTCCTCGTTTTATCGGAAAGGCATGAGCACGTTGGCCAAGCCGAACGCATCACCCTCGTCATCTCCTTGGCTTATGTTGCAGCCTGCCTTTGACGTCGACGTTAGCGGCGGCGCCAGCAGGAGCTTCAAGTTCTACAGCCTCGCCGACAACAAAATTGTAACCCTAAGTACCGGAAAGAGCAGCAAAGAAAGAGAATTAAGGAACCCTCTCATGTGCTTTAGGGGATCTTCACATGGCTGGCTAGCTTTGTACGACAAAAGTAGCCTGGACGTGTTTCTTTATAACCCAATAACCGGTGGTCATATAAGCCTCCCTCCCTTTGGCCACTTTCCTGATTACCCTCCAAACTCGAATGGACTATACAAGAAGGTCATCCTCTCAGACGACGATGGACCAAATTGTCGGGCTATCATGATCTACAACAACGTAGCTGCGCTGGCCTTCTGCTGCCCTGGGTTGAGCAAGGAGTGGACCCGAATAGGAGATCACAATTGGTTTGATCAAGATTCGGGCCAGGCTTTTTTTGGGGGCTACAGCGATTGTGTCTACTCGACAAGACATGAAACATTGTTTTGCCTCACAAGACTTGGCGTGTTGGAGTCTTGGGATATTCGGGACCCTCAGTCACCTCAGGCTGTGAAGATAGCCGAGGTTCGGAAGTGTCCACGGCTGGGGTACCCGAGGAGGACAGGAGGTAAGAAGAAGTTGTCGTTGACGAGTATGGGGGCGAAGAATCTGGTAGTGGCCGGGGAGGATCTCCTCGTAGTGACTCAGTACGTGGTTGATGCATTTGACCTTGATGGTTTGTATGTTGATGGTAATACGCCGTATTTCTGCTCCGAGGAACTCGGCTTTCCGAGTGTGACTGTTGATTTTGATGTTCATAAATATGACCCTGAGGATGGGGAACTTAAGTATGTGGAAGGGTCTTTGGGTGGTTGGGCTCTTTTTGTCGGCCTCCACAGCCATGCAGTTGCGTTGCCCGCGGCTGACTTCCCCGAGCTCAAACCCAATTCCATTTACTTCACAGATGCAATGTCAGAAGCGTCGTTTGAGGAGTGTAACAATTGGCTAACTGGTGGCCATGACATTGGCATCTTCGATTATGACAACAAGACTGTGTCGCCATGCTATTTTCCATGTAATCCTAAGAACATGAGAAAGACTTATCCAGCGCCTATGTGGTTCTTCCCAACTCGTCAATGATGCCATGTATACTGATTAGTGGTTTTTGTTAAATAATTATTTGAATTTTAAAGGCTTTTCGAATTTTGATAAATAAGATTACTCATTTTTCAGGTGATGTGTAAAACCCCTTCCAGATAGTATTACATATATCATTATTCATTAGTCGTGCGACTGAAAATAAATTCTCAAGAAAATAACACTAAATATGTTTGTCTATACACGAAAAAACCAAACACATTGACCAAATAACAAACCTCTCCTAACACAACATTATTTCTCAAGTACTGATGCCATAAACTTGTTATACTTCTTCCCCTTTGTTTATCATAGGAACTATCAATTGTTTCCCATCTTCCATTGGAGAAAAGTTAGAATTGGTAGTGTTTTGCTTGGATTATGATCTGCCTTAACCCTCCAATTGGTGCTATAGACATCAACATGACACCAAGTATGATGCATACCTGAATTTTTCAACGGTACATACGAACAATCATCAGCACCTAAGACCACCGATAATGATAAAATTCTTTCAAGAATGTAAGATGTCATTTTACAGTTCAACTTACCCAGTTGGCAGGCTGAATTTCCAAGGTTTGTAGATGGCGAGCCACATGATGCAGGGAAGCTGATGAACAAACGTTTTAACAACATTACCAATGGTTTTGTAGTAAGTGTAAGTAAAAGATTATCTCACCTCACACAAGTTAATAATTATAATAGTAAATATAAACTTAGGAATTATGTTGTCGGCACAAAAGCAAATCCACCGAAAAATCCTAGGAGCCCGCCAAAGGAGGGTAGGTAATTCCAACAAACATTGTAAATGCTGAAAAAAAATAAAAAAAAGAATAAGATGATAATAATCTCGCAAATGATTTTATGTAATTCCAGTGAACATTGTAAATCCAATGATTTTCCAATAACCTTGGCTGAATATATTATCATGGACAGAATTAATCTCCACATCTCGAAAAAGTTGTGGAGGATAGAAATCGTGATGCTGTTGCGCGGCTTGCGCCTAAGCAGAAGGAGCTACTTAACCATGTTGAGGGTGAGTATGAAGTTGTTAATTTGTTAATCTTAATCATTTCATATTCGGAAATGAAGGTATTGGAATTGCAAACAGTTATATTTGAAAGAGCTGGCTGTAATTTGTACCCAAAAAAGAAAAGGAAAAAAGAGCTGGCTGTAATAAGTAATAACTCAAATTTCTTAAAAATAGTATATTTTTGTTTTTGTTTAAGTTGTGAATCGAGGTAGATCATGGAAGCGCATACTTTTATGAATGATAGAAGACATTTGGAATGTTGACAAAGAAATTTGTACCAACTCCTTAGGTCCAGAGATTGGTTAAAGAAAATCTTCCTAAATTATGCTTGTCTCATTCAAGTCCTTGTCATGGATTGCAGCTGAGATCTTCCTGGGGCATTGGGTGTGGAAGAGGATATGGTGGATGGCTTTGCGGTACAAATTGGAGATGTTGAAGGACCCGCTGAGGGCTTTATTGATCCTTTTGCACCTGAGGACACGGTCCCAGCCCAGGCCACGAGGATCGGCCCAAGGGTTTCATAAATGGGAGGACAGGGAGCTGCCGTGTTATGTCACCAGCTTCATCACCATAGTTATCCTCGGAGTGGGCCTCAACGCCAAGACCGATCACACGAGAAATCCTTCGAGCTGGAATCTGCCCAGCCTGTTGAGTCCGATTGAAGTAGGTATTTTTTGTTTTTCTTCCCCATTTTGTTTTTTCTTGAATTATCAGTACTTGTTCTAGTGAAACTTGTTTGAAGAAATACTTGCAATCCTTCTTCTTCTTCTTCTTCTTTTTTTTTTTTTTT